CGCACTCAAATGACGAATTTCGGGTTTTACATTATGCGTCTAGACCATCTAAGGCGACTCTCTCTAATCTTATATGCCACTAGAGCTGCTCCAACATTTTCACTTATATACTTGTTTCGCATTGTCTCTAAAAGTGAAGCCACTCATCCACCTAAGTATCCTCATCTCTGCAACACTTAACTTAATTTTATGCTTCTCTTTTGATGGCCAACATTCTTCCCCGTAAAGCATTGCAAGTCTCACCATCATCTTATAGAATTTTCCCTTAAGTTTAAGGAGTACTTTTCTATCACACAACAGGCACGATGCATTCCTCCACTTCAACCATCCAACTTAAATTCTGCTAATAATATCCCCATCTATTTCACCATCACTTTGAATAATAGACCCGAGATATCTAAAACGCATATTATTATTAATGACTTGATCGTCCAAAGTCACAATCCTCCACTAGATCTATTACTACTAAAATTTTATAACTAGTCAATAAAAATGAAGTATGAGTAAGCGGTCATAAAGAACTACCAACATTAAAAAAGAAATAAAATATATGGGATCAAAATAACTTGAAAAGCTAAGCACAGCAAGTGCTTGCATGCATAGCATTGCATAGACGAGAATAAAGAGCACCATGAAATTGTCAAAACGGTACTTCAGGTTATCGTAGACCTTCTACAAATGCACGACCTTCCTGCCAATGCAAATTCAATGTAGGGTTTGGGAAATAATTCATATATATGACTTTTAATTTGAGCAAGGTTGTTTCCGTGACATCAACACGTGACCTGAATAAAAATAACAAACGACAGATTCAAATCCACATCACTAACAATTTTCTCTGAAATCGTAATAACAAAATTAAATAATTTGTCATGTTAATGATTATATCCTTAAAAAAGATATAGTTACTCCTACTTTCACTATAGACCAAACCAAGATTTACGAAAGAATATATGCATGAATGGAAAAGTTTGTATGATGCTTGTGAAAACAAAACATCATCTGAAAAGAAAAGTACTGCATAGCAAAAGGCTCTTCTTTTATGAAAACATTCCATCAACCAGGCATTGGTTTGCCTTTATGATTTCAAGGCTAGAAGATCATAAAACTATAGCGCAAGATTTGCATGATACTACATTAAGCAATAAAAGAGGCTTAGAATAACATTTTAATGAGTAGCATAAATTATGCACATCTTTGCAACACAAATTTGAACTAAAAAAGATAAAAGAAGGCAGTGTTACCGACCCCCTGGTAAAACCCAACAGCAACTCCGAAATATGCCAATGCAATTTGATAGGCCCTCTCATAAATGTGGGCCAATGGAAGATAGGAAATATATCTGCACATATGCAACATTTAATTTAAAGAAGCTTCCAACTGACTATAAAAACTAAAATGAACAAGGACACTCACACGTCAGACGGATAAAATTTGACAACAAGGCTTGATCCAGCAGAATTTGCGATCAAATTTGCATGGGAGAGTATTACGCCCTGTGACAGCATACAATCAGCTTATGAAAGAAAAAACAGTATTATACAAATAGAAAACAAACCAACCAATCAGGAACTGGAAAAAATAGTTAAAAAAAGCTATGTCATAATGGTCTTGGCATCACTAACGAGAACATACAATACAAATAAAAGAAATTTTAGTATTTTTACTCAGATAACAGTTACAAGAATAAAGTGATGGTAATCAAAACAGCATACCTTCGGTGTACCAGTTGTCCCACTTGTGTAGCATATAGTTGCAATATCTTCTGGGTTTGGAGGGCAAAATGGTTTTAGGTTACTATGACCCTACATGGAGATGTACATGGTTGGAGACATAATGATAAATAATTAACATAGATTTTCACATCAAATAGGCAATAGAGAAATTAATCATCAAAATTTTAAGTTGAAGTGTTATAAGCATGTATCACAAAAGTCAATAGTAAATATAAGAGGCGACACAACATTTGATTCAAATCTCACACTTGAAGAAATGTTTTAATGTTGGGCAAAGATATTGACCTAAAGCTATAACATGCAATATTGATGACAAAGGAAAAAAAATTGTCATAAGCCAAGAAAAACCAACATTTAAACACAATCCTCATCAATGTTTGATTAGGACCAATAAAAAACTCCCGAAGAAAAACTTTATGACAAATTTTCTATTCTGATTGGGGACAACCTCCAAAAAGGTACACCCGCAAATGCTTTTTTTTTTATTTTTTTTAAGTGTAGTAGTACTCTTTAAAGAAAAAACAAACTACACAGAAAACTGTTAAAATTCATAGAATTTGAGAAGGGTAAAAATAC